TATCTATGAAGAATCAATTGCTAAATCGCACAAAACATTAACGAATTTCATTAATATGTATGTATGAAATTATTGAAGTTACATAACTTAGACATCTCGGCTGTGTTCGCGCGAAATTTCCAGACTCAGGTGTGGTAGATAAAGTAAACAAATCACTTAACTTGAACGCCTAATCGTTATTTATGGTTTATTACAAGTAACTCAAGTTAATAAAGTATGACTTTTGGAAGTTTTTACTTGTGCGCCTTTTGTTGCCTTTTACTTAATGCGAGACTATAATTTAATTTTATACTTTTAATAGTTTCGGTTCTTATAGAAGAAATTAATTAGATATTGAAGTGTGATGAAGACAAGATAATGTCAATGATACTTTTAATTGGCTAAGTCAATCGTGCAGTTTTTAAAGCGAAAATGTAACAGCCTCAAGTATAAAATTGATAATTTAATATTTAAATAAATATATTTTGTATATTTTTAGGAAGAAAATTTCAGCGTACGCCCTTCTGTGATAATAAAAATATTTGTAGGATAATTGAGATGCTAATTAAAAATAAATTTACAGTTCCTCTGTGTAAATTCCTAGATTTTAGGAGTATTAAAATTATTGTATCTGCGTTAGATAGCCGTCGGAAATATTATTACTAAAATATTTTTTGGCAAACACATATTGTTTATCGAAGGACCCTCTGATCTGCGCCGGGATTTGAGCCAAACTTAGTGATCCTAGTTTTGTATGTTTTCCATTGCGTGTACATCAAATATCGAATTACTGAAAATATAAGTAAGTGCTTGTGCTAGATTGGGCAAATTACTATTCGTTTTCTACCTACCTTAAGGTTTAATGAATGTTTCAGGAGCAATTCCAACCCATAATAATATGTTTAGCAATAGTCTTTAGTAGTACATGTAAGCGTTAGACAGTTTAAAATTTTACTTGTCGAACTCGACAAAGAGTTCGAAGTGCAACCTAACCCATGCATCAGCCCGCTGAGTTTCTCGCCGGATATTCTCAGCGGATCGCGATTCCGATCCGGTAGTAGATTCATTCGCGAAGCAGTTAGTTGCTTTTGAATTGTTAGGTCTCCTTTGGAGGCGCTCGGGCAGCTGCTAGAAAAACCCACCCCTCCTGGCTGAGCTTTACTCGATCCTTCAATCATAAAAAACAGTTTAAAAATAATTTTATAAAGCAACCTCTCAGAAACAAAGGCGATAACTTTTCGTAGATCACCGCTGATCCTCTGGTACGAAGGTGCCAAGAACAGCTGAAGCGCAATTATTAAACAAAAGAAGATTTGAATTAAAGTTCTCTCAAACATTTCGCATCATCGCTTTGTCCGACGAGTCTAATGGAGGGGCGTTATGGCCCACGATCTTTCCCGACCTAACCCTAAATTATTTTGCTCCGACGATTCCGGATAAAGATTGAGTCATTACTGTGCGGAAAATCGTTTTAAGGAATTTAGATTCTATGCGATGACAAAGAAATTTACTGCGTGGCGAAATTATTTCTTTTCTTTACTGCCACTTCAGGCGGACAACGCTCGCGTGATGTGAAGTGGTCATAACTCATTGACTATGACAATATTCCGGGGCAGAATTTATCTAAAGCTCGCCAAAGAACACCTTTATTGTATGTAGATATATTAGTAAAATGAACAATTTGATCGGTTTTTCAGATTGATGTCCATGCTCGTGTCTTGTAGAAACGTGGTTTGCTTTTGTTTACTTATCATTAATTAATTTATGCTATACTGTTAGTTAACGAAAAAAAAAAGCGCAAAAAAAACACGTAAATTGGTTGAATATAATATGGACAGACAGCGTTAATAAATAAATTAATAATAAATTATAACTCACCTACTCTAACTTAAAAATTTTTCTGTGTTACAAGTATTATGAATTTACTATAATGTATGTAAATATTATGTGTACACATAATATAAGTATAGGTATAATTGATAAACACTACTTAAATGACGATTGTCAGTCGTTGTTCAAGTCCAGTATTGTGTGCTCCTAATACATAAATACCGGACTGTTAGTATTTCGTGCGACAGAGATAGCGCTCTACGGAGCCGAAATTAGTCGATTGTCTCTTTCTAAATGCCGAAGTGCAATATTTAATGCCAGGTACTGCTTATTATAATTTTAGGTAATTTCGGATCGTCCCAATCCTCTAACAGTGCTTTTAGGTACCTCAAGCACCGGTCATTGTTCTCGTCGAACCCGTCGCTTGCGACGAAGGGCTCGGCGAGTAAATTAACCATAATATCTGCTGTCTGCCCACTGAGTTTCTCGCCGGATCTTCTCAGTGGATCGCGTTTCCGATCCGGTGGTAGATTCTGCGAAGCACTGTTCTTGCCAGGGTTAATGTTAGTAACGTCTTCAGTTTTGAGTCCCGTGAGCTCACCTACTTGTCAGCGTTACGCTAAAATGGTCACTCAAGGCTATCGGCTTAGGTAGCAAAAAAAAGTTATAATTTTCACAAAGATATCGTGCACGATTCTGATAATATCGATTATAATTTTAACGTCATAAATACAAATAAACAATACTTTAGTGACGTGGCCTTTAAATCCTTTCAATAAACATACCACTCTCTATAATAAAATTCCCAAGCATATTTGTTCCCGAGTATGTATTATGAATTTTAATGTGTGATAATGTATAGGAGGAGGACATTCCTACTCGATTTTCATAATTTATCATTATCTCTCGCTGCCTTCATAAATTAAGATTATTTGCTGAATTCAATTACTAGTGTTTACATTTTTAGGCTTAGTGCTTGGCGAAAAATTGAAATACTACAACGATGGATTAGCTGTATTATCGTCACGATAATTTCTTATTAACACTGTCATTAGCTTGGTACGTGTGTGCGTGTTATTATTGTTTAACAGAATCTTAGAACGTCATTTTCAGCGAATTTAAAATACTAGAGATCCCGCAGTAGTCGAAATTCGACTATAATTAATTAGAGTTGTAACTTTGTACACTATTATGATTGTATTTTATACTTTTATAATCACAAATTTCGCCAAGGCTACTCTATAAAAAAATATTAATAAAGACAAACAATATTTAATCTATTCTCAATTTGACCACAGACGTCAAGAACAAAAGTTTGACAATAAATAGTATGCATGCGTGTGTGCGTCAAATACATGGTATGTAGTGTGTGTAATGTTTATTGATTTAATGTATCTTTTATGCATTATTTAAAAAAAAAAATAGCATTGTGCTCTTCTTCTCTATATTCTCTATAAGTGTGGAAAATTTCATAGTCCTCCGTCCACGCAATTTTCGTAAAAAGGGATACAAAGTTTTTGCTTCACGTATTAATATATAGATTCCATTATAGAGTATAGATGTAGTCAGAAGATGAATATAAATATACTTGCGACCCGCCCTCTTTCACTTCCGGAGCTGTAATTCATTATTGATCATGAAAATGAGATGGCAGACTTTTTTCCTACTTACTTGACACTATTAGTTATATTTTGGGCAATTCACGCTACCTATATCTTTATAAATTATTACCTATATGTTAATATTATGTGTAAGCTATATTATCTATATATTAATACGTGAAGCAAAAACTTTGTATACCTTTTTACGAAAATTGCGGGGACGGAGGAGTATGAAATTTTCCACACTTATAGAGAATATATAGTAGAAGTGCACAATGCTAATATTTTTTTAAAATAATGCATTAATGATACATTAAATCAATAAAGAAAACATTACACACCCTACCATGTATTTGACACACACACACACACACATATACTCCTTGTTTATTGCACTGAAGTATTGTCAAACTTTTGTTATTGCTTAAAGTCTGTAGACAAATTGAGAATAGGTTAGTATTGTTTATCTTTAATATTACGAGTATTTGTCTCTAAAGTAGTCTTGGTGAAATCTATATATTAATACGTGAAGCAAAAACTTTGTATCCCTTTTTACGAAAATTGCGCGGACGGAGGAGTATGAAATATTCCATACTTATAGAGAATATAGAGAAGAAGTGCACAATGCTAATTTTTTTTTTAAATAATGCATAAAAGATACATTAAATCGATAAAGAAAACATTACACACACTACATACCATGTATTTGACGCACACACGCATGCATACTATTTATTGTCAAACTTTTGTTCTTGACGTCTGTTATCAAATTGAGAATATTGTTTGTCTTTGTTAATATTTTTTATAGTGTAGTCTTAGCGAAATTTGTGATTATAGAAGTATAAAATACAATCGTAATAGTCAGGGGGGTGCAACTCCCATACAAAGGAAAAGAACATTCAACTAGCGTCATCTTTAGGAACCGGCGAGGTCATTTTTGAAACGTTTTGGCCTTAATGAACTAATAAACTCACTAGATGGCAGATACGAGTTCTGACTCAATAAAAAAGGTTAGCATACTTTGAAGCAGTGCTTCCACTTTTAGGGAATTCTCCCTTTTTTAGGGAAAAATAGCTGATATTTTGGATGATAAANTACCGGGGCCGGCTCCGTGTGGGTACGTTGCCCGGTGGAGGCGGCCGTCGCCCTGGCTACTCCTCCGCCTGGGAGACCGTCGGGGGATCCGGGCAGGTTGCGCGTGGGCTGGATAGCAGCCCACGTGCGCCTGCTAGAACCGCGTGCCTGGCGGTGCCTAAGGTGCTTCAGCACTGGGCACTGCCTCGCCAAGTGCGTGAGTGCGGTTGACCGCAGTGGACTGTGTTTCCGCTGTGGTCAGCCTGGACACAAGGCGGCCGTGTGCTTGGCTGCGCCGCATTGTTCACTATGCGCGGCGGCCGGACGCAAGGCTGATCACCGGACCGGGGGCAAGGCATGCCCCCCGGCCGGCAAAAATGCAATTCGAAATCGGCGCCAAAAGAAGCGGTCGGCCGGGGGAGCACCGGCTGACACTTTGGCCCCCGCTGAGGCGTTCGAGCCCGATAGCGGGGACAATAGAGTAGGGGAGGGGGCGATGGATGTGGTCCAGCCTTAATGGATCACACCTATCGCTTCCTCCAAGGAAATTTGAACCACTCCGCCGGGGCTCAGGACATGCTGCTCCAGACTATGGCGGAGTGGTCAATTGACGTGGCTGTGGTCGCCGAGCCGTACTTCGTTCCCCCAGCGGACGACTGCTGGTTTGGGGACGTTGATGGCTTGGCGGCCATACATATAAGAAGATCCGCGATGATTCCTCCCCTGGCGATGGTGACCAGGGGCCCCGGGATCGTCGCGGTACAACTAGAAAATACCGTCGTGATCGGGGTGTACTTCTCTCCAAATCGGCCTACCGTCGAGTTCGAGCGGTTTCTGGACGGGCTAGAGGTGATCGCTCGTCACCTCTCTCCCCGTTCGGTGATACTGGCGGGGGACTTCAATGCGAAGTCTGTCGCTTGGGGTTCCCCATCCACGGACGCTCGTGGTAGGCTGTTGGAGGAGTGGGCGGTCGCGGCCGATCTCTGTATCGTTAACAGGGGCTCAGTCGCGACATGCGTGCGGTGGACAGGAGAGTCTATTGTGGACTTGACGTTCGCGAGCTCGTCCGTCGCACAGCGCATCCTCGGCTGGGGCGTGGTGGTGGGGGCGGAATCGTTGTCAGATCACCGGTATATCCGGTTCGATCTTTCCGCTCCCACGCCAACACCAGCCGCAGGCGCTCGCGGGGTTAACCCCCCGCGGAGTGCATCCCGGTCATTCCCTAGGTGGGCATTGAAGCTCCTGAAGAAGGAGCTCCTGGTGGAGGCCTCTATGGTGGCGGCGTGGACGCCCACGCGCCCACACCCTTTCGACGTGGAGGCCGAGGCCGAATGGTTCCGCGGCGCGATGCACCGCATATGCGATGCCTCGATGCCCCGGGTCGGCTCTCGGCATTGCGGACGGCGGCAGTCTCCCTGGTGGTCGCCTGAAATTGCGAGACTGCGCGCGGTCTCCATTCGGGCGAGCCGCCAATGCGCTAGACACCGCCGTCGCCGCCACCTGCGGCGCGACGACCCCGTCGCGTTTGCGGAGGAGGAAACCCGGCTGCACGGCGAATATCGCGCTGCGAAGGACGCCCTGCGGCTGGCCATCAGGCGGGCCAAGGAGCAGAACATGGAGAGACTCTTGGAGGCGCTCGAAGCGGATCCATGGGGGAGCCCGTACAGG